CTAATATATATATACTAATATATATATATATACTAATATATATATATATACTAATATATATATATACTATATATATATATATACTAATATATATATATATACTAATATATATATATATATACTAATATATACTATATATATATATATACTAATATATATATATATATATATACTAATATATATATATATACTAATATATATATATATATACTAATATATATATATATATACTAATATATATATATATATACTAATATATATATATATATATATACTAATATATATATATATACTAATATATATATATATATACTAATATATATATATATATACTAATATATATATATATACTAATATATATATATATATACTAATATATATATATACTAATATATATATATACTAATATATATATATATACTAATATATATATATACTAATATATATATATACTAATATATATATATATATATACTAATATATATATATATATACTAATATATATATACTAATATATATAATTATATATATATATGTATAAATGTATAAATGTATATATGTATATATGTATATATGTATATATGTATATATGTATATATGTGTATGTATATATGTATATATATGTATATGTATGTGTAAGTATATATATATATATATGCATGTATGTATATATATATAATATATATATATATATATATAATATATATATATATATATATATATATATATATATATATGTATATATATGTATATATATGTATATATATGTATATGTATATGTGTAAGTATATATATATATATACATATATATATATATATATATATATATATATATATATATATATATGCATGTATGTATGTATATATATATATATATATATATATATATATAATACATATACATATACATATATGTATATGTATATGTATATGTATATATATATATATATATATATAATATATATACATATACATATATGTATATGTGTATGTATATATATATATATATATATATATATATATATATATATATATATATATATATATGTATATGCATGTGTGTGTGTGTGTGTGTGCATAGAAAGCATTTGCATATTAAAACATAATTGTAACTACATTTTTCTTTGTTTTATTGGCAACAACTGGAACAGAATGTCCTCAGGGACCTCCTTTTTTCTGCAGTTTATGTACAATGGGAGTGGTAATTAAAAGTGAGTTGAAAGGAGGATGGGCCTGGGCAGGGTTAGAGCATGTGATCAGTCTATGGTACTGTACCTAGTCATATGACTCTGTTCACAGTCTGTGGTCCCTTGGGGCAGGGGGCCTCGTTTGGCTGTGGGGAATTCTGAGCTCTGCTGCCGCTCTTCCATCATCTTGAGGTATTGTTTGTAGATGTTTTGTGCAGTTGATTTGCTCAGCTTCCTGTTCAGCCTTTTAGACATTTCACGGGAGGCTTTGGCTAAGCCCATCTGGGAGCATGCCTTTGCAATTTCCAGTCGCTCCTCCGGGCTCCAGCGAATGTATGTCCCTCGACTTTTGTTGACTGCGGTTCTCTTAGAGACCATCTGTTGGTGATGGATGTGATCAGCTTGGTCACCTCCTTATACATCCCTGGATGCTACATACTCATGACATCAGTGACATCATCTAGATGCCACATAAAAGTAGTATCAATAAACTTAAAAAGATGTAGGAGTAGTATGATACATAGAATTAGTAGAAATATATCATACAATTAACTGTCACATTTTAGAGTAATGCAGATACAATCTGTTTACTAAGTTCTCCAGATATGAACAATGCAATGTGAGTTCAATGTGGACATGTGTCTAATTCCCTCACAACAAAAATATGAATGGAACCACAAATAATACATTTCAAAACTTCAAGCAATAGCAAGAAAAAAGTATGTCTGTAAAACTATACCTATAATCTTGTACACAACTATTTCCTTTACAAAAGATTTTGAGGCCATATTTTGAACTGACTTCCACTAGCACAGAATAACCATTGAAAATATTCATAATCTGTATCACAAGCATAATTAGCACGACCCAGGAGTCAGGACACAGTGAAATACAAGGTTTATCCTCTTTAACACGTTCAAGGAAAATAATACGAAATTACATGATTGTGCCTTTTGTACTTGTTCAAAACAAAATCATATACATCCGGTAATAATTTACAATCCTGAATGCACGACAGTTATGGTAATGCCCACACAGAGAGATCCATATAAAGATACAAAGATAACTGTGTAAATTTATGAATTCCTACACAGCATACAATAACAAGTACATCAGAAGACCGAAAAGAAAAACATGTAACATAAGATACAAGAACACTTAGTTACAACTATATATATACATAAAACAGTCTTAAAATATATTTATCAAATTTATCAACATAGGTAAATCTCTGGAAATCATAATATTACGACATGGAAAATCAAAATATGAGATATAAAACTGACTTTCGTCTCAATCCAAAAGGCCTTTTCTTGTATCATTGCAAACCAATTCTCACTCTTAGGCTAAACCTGAATCTCCATAAATCACAGACAGATAAGAGATGGGCAATTGATGATAGGCCTGTTTTATTTCTTTGAAAACAATATATATATGAGTATTATCAGTCTAAGAAATTCCCCTGTTTCAAAACCATTAACTTTAACTCTGAGGAGTAACTTAGAAAGAGAGAGAGAATGAGAAAGAGAGAGAGGGAATGAGAAAGAGAGAATGAGAGGGAATGAGAAAGAGAGAATGAGAGGGAATG